TCTGACTCCGAGGGGGAGAAGGAACAGCCGACAGGGAGTGGGAGTGTGGCTTCGGAGGTTGTGGAGGAAAATGGGGAAGGGCATAGGCCGGCTGGGCATTCAGAGGAAGACCCAGGCCCATCCCGTCTTCATCCTAGGGCACGCAGGGAGGAGCAGATAAGGGAGAAATGTGAATGGCATGATCTACGGGGGAGGAAAGGGCCCTGATCCCCCTTCAAGGAGAAACATGGCCCAGTGCTGGAAGCAAAGCATGAAATAATTCTAGTCTGTCAGTTCTTATCTGAGTCCTGGCGTCCTTCCCAGTGTGTGTGTATTTTGATATCTGTGGATAGCCCTTATCCTGCCTCGTCTCATTAATTTGTTCAGTGTGGTTTGTGTTGTTTTTTCTATTTATAATTTATATATATTTTGAGTTTGAACAGAATTTCTTCCTTTTTGCAACAGTTTGTAGAGGAGTTTTTTTTCCAGTCAATGATAATTGGACCTTGGAGGCCAAGTTGAAAGAATTAAAGGGACTTAACCTATTTTTGTGACTTTGTTGCCTTTGTATCCCACCCTGGTTCATCACAGTTGGTAAGTGAATCACTGCAGTTGTTGCGTTCGTAACACAGTTGTTAAGTGAATCTGGCTTCTCCATCTGACTTTGCTTGTTAGAAGATCACAAAAGGGGATCACATGACCCTGAGACGCTACAACCGTCACACATGCATACCAGTTGTCCAAATTTTGATCATGTTGTAAGTGTGAAAAATGGTCATGGGACACTTTTTTTCAGTGACGTTGCAACTTTGAAAAGTCACTAACCGAACCGTTGTAAGTCGAGGACTATCTGTACGGTATTTTGGATTTGATTCAGAAAAAGTGATACGTCAAAATAGCACGCGTCTGAAACTCTTTAAATGAGTCGGGCTTAGATAGGTGCCCTTTGCAGTCCTTGGCACAATTTGGTACAATTTTTGGAATTGAGTCTAAACTGCTGCACAGCTTTAACATACATTCATGCAAATGACTAGCATATGGGTATATAAAAGGATTTTATTTGATGGGTTATTTTATCTTTTTGGCATTTATACTGAGATCATCCTTCAGCAAATGTAATTATGATAATCTCTGTTTTGCAATAATATTTGGAGAGAATGAGTTGCCACTGCAGCAATGCAAACTAAGTAGAGTCCTTTTTCATTTTTTAAGAGTACCAATTGGTTTTGTCAGATTACCTAATTTGGGGAGAGCAAATTCAATAAAAAGGCAAAAATATTGGAGGAAATATTTTTGTTGTTAGATATTGTAATGGAAAATTTGAATGAAGCAAGGAGGAGGAGCAGCTAAATAGAGCCTCATAATTTGCTGTTAATAGGATTTTTGAGTCACCTGGTATGTAAGCTGTTCACTCGATTCCAACTCTTCATTTTGCCTATGATATTCAGATGTTTATACCTCAGATCTAAACAGGTGGCTCAAATAATTTTGCCGAGTCCATTTAAACTTACACTGATTTACTAGTTTGTTTGCCACAGTAGGCGCTTTCAGAGCATATATAAGCTGCGATTTATAAAGATAAAAGAGAGGGTGGGATAAGCTGATTGTTCATATGTCTTCCCTCTTCCTTACCTGCTATCTTTGCTTCTAGTTTGATTTAGCATTATATGAACTTTATGATTAAGATGTGTTGGAAGAAATGTTCATCTGGGTTCAGTTCCAAGCGGGAAGAAAGACACTGGAAACATGGAGACTGTTTGGCAAGATGGTTTAATGGTGGACAGGACCACATTGAGGTCCTGGGCAAAAAAAGAGCACGTGGGTGAGAGAGGGACACAGATTTATATTCTCTGTTGGGTTTTGAACTCACTTCCTGTTCCTGTGGAAAGAAATGTATCCCGATTGGTTGTCAGACTCCCATGGGGCCATGCAGGGGTAACTTTGTAGGTTGTCTTGAGTCCCAAGTTTGGTTGAATCTTGCTAGGTGATAATCTTCCCAGGTGCCATGTGGTGAGATGGGTAGAGGGGTAATCCTATCATGTCCTGAGGGCCATGTCTTAATCCCATCACCCTGGAGCTGAAGTGGGGGCAGGGACCTGCTTTGTCTTTAAAAACATGTTTCTCCTTTTCTCATCCAGGGAAATATAATATTCTGCCTTTTTAATAGAATATTTCATTCTTCTAGGAGAGTGGTGGGTGCTAACTTTCTACAGATGGATTGCGATTAGTTTGAAACAAGGAACTTTTTCATAAAAGAAAAGAAGCAAAACTTGAAATATGCCTGAGGTTTTAGAAAGGGATGTTTTGAGATACCATTTTTTCTTGATTTGCTTCTATCTCCAAACACCATTTATTCCCGCTGGTTTACAGCAGAGATCATCAACCAGAGGCCCTCACAAAGTATGATCATGTCTGTGGAACTCCCCAAATTAAATCTATATATATATATAAAAGCGAAATACCACTCATGCATCATCACAAAATCTCCAGAACCGTACAAAGCCTACAAACTTGAAATTTGGCACGTATGTTCCTCTTGGCTTCTAGGGGCTCACTAAGAAAGGATTTTTTGAAATGACCATCAGAGCATTAGTATTTCCTATATTATTATCAACATGCTCTGATGCTAAGGATTTCTACTCCCCCTCCCCACCTGAAAAGAAATCTGTTCCAAATGCAAAACACAACAGAGGAGAGAAGTTTCAGTATTAGTTTCACAGTACCAAGCTGCTTTAGTACAGAACAGTTGAGCTAAGCCACGCCCAGCCTCCTTGCTCACACAGCAAATACTGTTTCAGTTTCCATGTTTCATTTTCCAAACACTGACAGGACGCTAGCCAGCTGAATACCGATGGATGCTGGTAGGCAGAGGCACATTTTTTTCTCCTTATTTTCCTCCCCCAAAACGAAGTCCGATCGCATAGTTTCGTTGTGAAGTACAGATATAGAGCTAGTATAAACTATTTTTGATAGCCAGAGCAGGCAATTTTTTGCAAACTTCAAATGAAAAATCCAGTTTTTCCTGAGATTGTGTGCATTGCCAAAATCTCACAATGTTTTTAAAGATTTTGCAAGAGTTTCACCCTTGTCAGTATTTTGGCATTTATCTCTGAAATATTTTGCCAAATCCTGGTTTACACATCCTGATTACAGTGATTGCCAGGCATTGCGGTTATTTTCTTGATGTGGTTTAGAAATGCTTTATGTGTATCAAAGCAAAATAGGCATGCAAAACGTCCCCCAAACAAACTGTTCTGAGTTTGGCATAAATTACTGTCTTCCAAATACAGGAAGTGCTCAACTTTTAGAACCAATTGTTTACCAACCATTCAAAGTTACAATGACACTGAAAAAAGTTAGTTACTTTTGTGTGAACATTATTTCCAATCTTCCCAGCCAGCTTTTAATGAGCAGAGTGCGGGGTGGCAGGCAAATTCATTTTACAACTGTCTGATTCACTTAACAGCTGCAATGATTCACTTAACAACGATAGCTAAAAAGGTCATAAAATCAGGCATGACTCACTTAACAATTGCCTTCCTTAGCAATTAAAATTCTGGTCCCTGTTATAGTCATATGTTGAGGATTATCTATATTACAAAATCAATCGGATCTCAAAATCAACCAATCCATGGGTCAGCAACTTTGTGGAACACTCTGATTGGTTCATTCCCAGGTTGGAATAGTCCATTCTAGGATTGGAACATTCCATGATATTTTACATGTCCCTACTTGATACCTAGCAGTTCAAAAGCATGCAAGCGTGAGTAGATTAATAGTTAATTAATAGGTAACACTTTGGTGAGAAGGAAACAGCGTTCCATGTGCCTTTGGTGTAACCGCCATCCTGGCCACATGACCACAGAAATTGTCTTTGGACAACTCTGGCTTCCCTGACCAAAAAACAGAGATGAATACTGCACCCTAGAGTTAGACATGACTAGACAAGGAAATTTTTTATTTTTTCTTAACACATTACTGCCCACTATTCAGATTGACTTTTGTAATTGGCCATATAATCTTAAAATTGAATTAGAATTGGATACATGGTGCTTTTTTACATGCGCATGTATTATTCTGTATAAGCTTCCTATTTTATTAGCTATTTTTATTTTTAAGTCATCAGCATGGAGAATTGTTTTTTTTTTTTCATTGTGGACATGTTGGTATAATTTGAATGTATCCATATTTAAACATAATAATTTCCATTTTTGTATGTAGCATAAGGAGATTAGGTACATACAAATTAATCGCTCTCTCTCTTCATCTAACAGAGGAAAATCTTTTAAAAATTCTTGTCCCATTCCTGGAACATACTTACACCGTCATTCTTTCTTTCACATTCATTGGACCCTGAATATACTTATTTAAAATTATTATTTTAATTTCTGTTTCTATTCAGAATTTTTGTCTGAAACTTTTTTCCCTGTACAGATTAGACATTATAATTATGATTCTCTAATAGGTATTTTCTTGTCTCCTATTCCTAGAGAAAGACACAGAGGTTTTTTTTGGAATTGAGCTACACTGAATACTGAGATTGAGTTAAATGTTTTAATGGAACTTTTGTGATACTGTTTTAAAATATTAAGCTTAGTAAAGAATATGGATGAGAATTTTTCAGTGAAATGCATACAGTATTATTTTTTTCAGATACTCTAAGCTAATTATCTTTTTCATTCAATGCAATATGGTGAACTCATTAAATAGAGCTAAAATTAGTGGTTTTGATAATTTTGATGATGTGCTGATGTGTTTTATCTGTATATTATATTAAATATTTCTGGTATATTAGTTAAAATTGTAACAGTTTCCATATTTGTGAGTTTTTAACATAAATTAGAGACAAAGGTCTGGAAGAATAGCCAGTTTTAAAAAAAACCCACATAAGCTTTATTTCCACAGATAGTTTTTGAAATGTGTTTAATTTTTTTTAAAAAACCAGGAGGGTATTGTTTGAAATGTAGACAGTGTTTTGAAAGAACAGAAGGGGCTGACACAAAATTTGTTTTGTTTTGCAGATTGATTCCTAAAAAGTTAACGTGACCATGGGAGATATGAAGACTCCAGACTTTGATGATCTACTTGCAGCCTTTGACATACCGGATATGGTTGACCCCAAAACGGCTATTGAATCTGGCCACGAGGATCACGACAGCCACATAAAGCAGAATGTCCACCCAGAGGATGATTCCCACGCACCATCCTCATCTGACGTTGGTGTAAGTGTCATTGTGAAAAACGTGCGGACAATTGATTCCTCGGAAGGAGCGGAGAAGGACAACCACCATTCCACAGGCAACGGGTTGCACAACGGTTTCTTACCAGTATCAGCTCTAGAAAGCTATAATAAAGAGGAAGACAAATCGCTCAAAGACGAAGGCTCCATCTCGGAAAATACACTGAAAGAATCTGCCTTTAACCAATTTAGCCCTATCTCAAGTGCTGAAGAGTTTGACGACGATGAAAAAATCGAGGTGGACGACCCCCCGGATAAAGAGGACATGCATGGAAATTTCAGAACAAACGTATTAACAAGGTCTGTCTCCCAGCAGGACTATGAGAAGTTAAAAGTACTCGGAGGAGAAAACTTGATGAAGCACGGAGTTGCAGGTTCAGGTAATTCTGATAAGCCCAAGGTGTCTAAACGAGACTCGGAAACAAACCCATCACCTTTAGGTCACTATGAACCTTTTAAAGCTAGGAAAATAGATGACAAGTTGCTTAAAGAAAACTCAGAGAAACTCCTTGAAAACAGAGCTGTCGATGGGAAAATAAACACGGAGAAAGGAGAAGCAACCCTTACCAGTCTCTCCCAGACTAAAGCAAAATCTTCAGCAAAACTCTCTTCCTGTATTGCTGCCATTGCAGCTCTAAGTGCTAAGAAAGCAGCCACGGATACTGGCAAAGACCCACAATCCAATTCAAGGGGATCCTCTCCCTTGCAGAAAGATACCAGTGAAAGCCCCCGCACCGTGGACAAATCCCCCGAATCTCAGAGTCTCATTGACTGTGCAAAAAAGGCCCCTGTCAAACAGCCAGACAGTCCCAGGAGTATCTCCAGTGAAAACAGCAGCAAAGGTTCCCCGCCATCGCCTGCAGGCTCAACGCCAGCCATCCCCAAAGTGCGCATCAAAACCATCAAGACGTCCTCGGGGGAGATCAAGAGAACGGTCACGCGTGTGTTGCCTGAAGTTGATTTGGACAGCAATCGGAAACCAGAGCAAGCAGCTTCCATGGTGGCTTCTGTGACATCATTGCTGTCTTCCCCGACGTCTGCTGCAGTTCTTTCTTCTCCCCCAAGGGCACCTCTCCAATCAACAGTAGCCAGCAACGCGGTGGCATCTGCAGAGCTCACTCCCAAACAAGTCACCATTAAGCCCGTGGCAACTGCTTTCCTTCCTGTTTCGGCTGTCAAGACGGCAGGCTCACAGGTGATCAATCTGAAACTTGCAAACAACACCACGGTGAAAGCCACTGTCATATCTGCTGCTTCGGTGCAAAGTGCCAGCAGTGCCATCATCAAAGCCGCCAATGCCATACAGCAGCAAACAGTTGTGGTGCCCGCCTCGAGCCTTGCCAGTGCAAAACTTGTGCCAAAGACGGTCCATCTTGCCAACCTTAATCTACTGCCTCAGAGTGCTCAGACCACCTCCGAACTCCGCCAAGTGCTCACGAAACCTCAGCAACAGATCAAGCAGGCAATAATTTCTGCGGCGGCCTCTCAGCCTTCGAAAAAAGTGTCTCGGGTTCAGGTGGTGTCCTCTCTACAGAGCTCTGTCGTTGAGGCTTTCAACAAGGTGCTCAGCAGTGTTAACCCCGTCCCAGTTTATATCCCAAACCTTAGCCCTCCCATAAACGCGGGCATCGCTTTACCCACACGTGGTTACAAATGCTTGGAATGCGGTGACTCCTTCGCCCTTGAAAAAAGCCTGGCCCAGCACTACGACAGGAGGAGCGTGCGGATCGAAGTCACCTGTAACCACTGCACAAAAAACCTGGTTTTCTATAACAAATGCAGCCTCCTTTCTCACGCACGGGGTCACAAAGAGAAAGGGGTGGTGATGCAGTGTTCTCATTTGATCTTAAAGCCAGTTCCTGCCGATCAGATGATAGCTTCTCCCACAAGCAATAGTTCTGTTACGTCGTCCATTCTTCAGAATGCCACCGGAATGGGCACCCACACCGTAACAAAGATACAGTCTGGCATAACTGGGACAGTCATATCAGCTCCTTCAAGTACGCCTGTTCCACCAGCCATGCCTCTAGATGAAGACTCTTCGAAGTTGTGCAGGCATAGTCTGAAGTGTTTGGAATGTAATGAAGTTTTCCAAGATGAAACATCTTTAGCCACCCACTTCCAGCAGGCTGCAGACTCAAGTGGACAAGTACAGTATCTTATGTTTACATTCCAGTATTTTTGCCGTGTGCAAAAAAAAAAACAACAACTTTTGGATGGGGGCTTTTTCCAAGTTTTCTTTCAAGCTTTATAGCAAAGCAGTGGAAGGGGGATTTTAATTTGGGAGGAATTGCTTGAAAAGTAGTTACTGCTTTGAAAGGGCAAAAGTGGCTTGGAATTCCTACTTATTAGCCCTTTATTTATTTAGAATATAAGGATATAGTTTTCTCTTTAGATCTATACTGAAAAATCAGAACTGAGTTATAATAGCTCAAAAACAAAAGACAAAGTCAACTGTAAAACAGTTTGTCAACTGTGGCCATTTTAAGAACTGAGGACTTCCAACTCCCAGAATTCTGGGAGTTGAAGTCCACACATCTTAAAGTGACAAGTTGAGAAACAGTGCAGTAAAACATTTCTGCAGGGTTAGCGCAGAATCTCCTAATGAAAGTTATAGACTAAACATAACTATGGAACAAACTCATTTTCCTTGCCTCTAGTTTTGTTAGGATATGGAAATGGAGCAAATTAGAAAAAAAATGCTACTGTTCTCTCCATGCCCTTTTCTGCATTTTTGCAGATAGTTCTTGTTGCTCCAAGCACCTATTTTTTTTTTAAAAAAGGATGACAATGGTAAGAACGGGTGGGATTCTACCGGTTCAGACCGGTTTGGGTGAAGCGCACGATCATTAAACTAACAGCCCGTTGAATAGCACCATTGGGTAAGAATAAGCGTTACATAAATTACAGGTCAGGCCCCATTATATGACTAGTAGGTTTACATATAATCTTCTCCAGCATGATAATCTTAGATTATCAGATAAAAAATACGGTTTGGTCTAGTGGTTAAGGCACCAAGCTAGAAAATGGAAAGCAGTGAATTCTAGTGTCTCCTTCGGCATGAAAGCTGGCTTGGTTCCTTTGGGCCAATCACCAGGAGACTGTGAGTTCTAGTCCCACCTTAGGCATGAAAACCAGTTCAGTGACTTTGAGCCAGTCACTCCCTCAGCCCAACCTACCTCACTGGGTTGTGGTTACTGAGAAAATAGGGGGAAGGGGGAGTATTAGATATGTTCACCACCTTGTGTTATTTATAAAAATAACAAAGGGAATATATAAATAAAAATAAAAGTGCAGAAGGCAACAATTCCTATAAATCTTAAAACGCACGATAGAAAGACACTGTTTGAAAAATAGCTGTGTTAGAGGTTTTGTTGGAAGTTCTGTTTTCTTTGGTAGCCACCACCATTACTGAATATGCCATGCTGGACATTTTCAACATGGATAAATATGAGGGAATGAAAAGCAAAGTGACAGCAAAAAGACCATCCCTTCTTTGCTGAGATTTAAAGGGTTTTTTTCATGTGACATTTGGTTTTGACAATCAAGAGTTACTTAACACATTTTCTGTTTTTTATAAGTGCTAGAATTAATGTTAGCAAATTTTGCTATTTACTCAACTTGCATAATGCATATATCCTTATTTATGGGATCTTTCCAGTTCATCAATCAACTGGTGTAACCATTTCCCCCCCCCCCCTTTTTTTAAAAAATCCCAATTAAGCTTTTTCTATCAAGTTTTCTTATTCTGGCCTTTAGTCTCCTCAGCAATATTTTTGCATGAAGTCCATGTAAACAATATGCCTGCTGTGATATATAGGCTTGTCACTTTTTTGTTTTGTGAAGTTGGCAATTCATAGTAATTCTTTCCTTTTACATGGCAGATTTTAACATCTTCTATACAAAATGGGTTTTAATGGGATAGATGGAATAACTCTATATCCTCTACCAACATGGATTTTGCATTAAGGGTTTACAGTGGTGGCAACAATGCAAATGAAACATCCCAAATGCTAATATATGTTCTTCCAAATAATTTTCCACTTACTGACAACAAAAGAAGAGATAAGCCCAGCTATCTATCTGTACTTCATTTCCTTAAACCTTCTCTGGTAATTGACTGTAAAAATGTAGCACAAAGTTTTAAAAAGAGAAAATACTGTAAACTGTTGGACAATATATTGGTGGGGGGGGGGGTATCCAAGGCCTCTTATATGCCTCGAAGGTATTTATGTTTCTTCCTGGTGAAGAAAAGAATAAATATAGGTTCTCAGTCTGAATAGTTTTTATTTTAGCTTGTCATAAATGCGGATTGATGAGAACAATTCCATTTAAAATAAGCGTTCCTGTCATTTTTCACTAGCCTCCCTCGATTTCATATTTATTTAAAACTTTTATACAGGTAGTCCTTGACTTTTATGACCTCAGTTGAGCCCAAAATTTCTGTTCTAACCGAGACATTTCTTAAGTGAATTTTTCTCCCATTTTATAATCTTTCCTGCCACAGGTGTTAAGTGAGTTACTGCAGTTGATAAGTTAGTAGCATGCTTTGCTAAGTGAATCTGGTTTTTCCCATTGCTTTTGCTTACCAGAAGATCTCAAAAGCTGATCACCTGTGACCCCAGGACATGGCAACGACCATAAATATGAATCAGTTGCTAAGTGTCTGAATTTTGATCATGTGACCATGGGGATGCTGCAATAGCTGTAATTTTGAAAAATGATATTAGTCACTTTTTTCAGTGCCATTGTAATTTCAAACGATCACTAAATGGTCTGTTGTAAATTGAGGACTACCTGCATAGCGACTCATCTATCAATTCTGGGCAGATCCCAATTGATATATAACATAAATAAAATTTATGTAGGCGTCATAGGGCAGCTTGGCACTGGGAAAAAGCATTTATAAACCAATTAAAAGCTAAATGTTTAGGGTAAGGAGGATAATTTTCTGAAATGCATTCTGGTACATCACTAGTTGTTATAGTCATGGCCAACAAAACCTTGCCAGTAATATTTTGCCCACGCTTTTCCTTCTAATAGTTAGTAGCAGTAATAATTGTGACTGGAATTTCTGTCACTGTACAATGCAGTCATAAAAACCAACATCACACAACCATGCGGCTTAGCAACAGAAATTCCAGCACTTCCAATTGCTGTTAGTAAGCAAATCACCATGTGTCGTTAAGTGAGGATGTCATATCGTCACTATTTGTAATCTCCTGCTGGCTTCCCCATTGACTTTGCTTGTAGGAAGCTGGCTGTGATCAACATAGTTATGAGGACTGGTTGTAAGTTAAACTCATTCAGTGCCATAGTATGATCAAATGGTCACTGAACAGGTGATCATTATGTGAGGACCTGTCTTTTTCTCTTTTTACACTTGTATAATTTGAGCTGGAGCTTCATCTACAGCAGGGGTGTCAAACTCGATTTCATTGAGGGCCACATTAGGGTTGTGTTTGACCTTGGGGGAGTGTGGACAGGGTGGGCATAGGCAGCTCCATGTCACTCGTGTTGGGGGCGCCTGTGGCGGCCCGAGCGCTCTGTGAAAATGGGCTCCTGATCTCAGTTTTCGGCTGTGACGGCCTCCTGCAACCCTCTTTCAGGGAACACGGCAGCCTTCCCGAGCTCCATTTTTGCTGGCAGAGAGGCACCGTGGGCTGGTCCTTTGCTGTTTCATGGGCCAGATTTAAGCGCCTTGAGTTTGACACCCCTGATCTACAGACATGTAGTTGCTTTATCAGCTACCCATCTTCTGCAAGGGATGAATTCCTGAATAAACATGACCCTCTAGAAAGCTAAAAAAAAGGGAGGGGGGAACAGACATGCTGATATGAATCCCAATCAGAGGATTCATCAACTGTGTTCGGCTGATTGATGTGCAGCTATGAAGGGAAATTGAAAAAAGGCATAATGTATGAAAAGAGGGCGGTTAGATCAGTTCTACAGAGCATTCTTTCACTAGAAGGCTTTTTACAACCCTCATTCTCAAATAGAATTTTAAAGCTTTTAAAGGAGAGATTTAGAAGGTATGATACAATACTATTTCATTTCTGAGCATTAATTATAATATTATAATAACTGGCCCCATGCTATTCAAGATTTTAACAATGATCTTAAGGACTATGGGCCATACGAAGCTCTTGAATTTCATTATTGACATTTGAAACTGCTTTCAGGTCACTGCTAATATCATTGGAATGGGAAGTATGCTGTGACAGTGTCATTTTAGTGGTGGTGCCAGAATAGTAAACTTTTGTTTCTGGATAGCTTTGAAAAAATGCTGCTGATCACACATGAAAGCTGGAAGGTCATTTATGGGCAGCCCAGCTTGCATTTTTCATTTCCTTAATATTGTACTTTATGATTAAAAATAAGTTTCTAAGACAATTTAGCTTAAAAGAAGATTAATTTTAAACGTGGGATACAAATATCTTCAGTAAAACACCAGATCCCTGTTTGCGTTTCTCTGCCTTAAAACAGGCAGAACAGTAACATACCAGAGAATATAACAATATAATACGTAATCCCCTCAAAGGATTACATGTTTCCAATAATTCAGAGGAGACTGATATAATTATAACTCCTGGTAATTAAATAAGACTCATTAGCATGGCTGTGTTTTAGTTAGTGAAATAGTCTGTATGATCAATTTTGTTAGTGCACATGGACTTGATATGCTGGCTAGTTATAATGCTGCTAAATGAGAAGTCCATATTTCACAAAATTCCCATTAGTTACAATTAGAACATTCCGTTTATTCCCTAATTCAAGATCCCCATTTAGTCATCCTGACTGGGAAGTCAGAAGGCTGAAATCCACCCTCTGTAAATTATCAGATTGCAAAAGGCTGGGATACAATCCCTTTTTTTTATTGTTAGGATTAATAAATCTGCATAGCTTATCTAAAGTTTTTATAGAGTAACTAGCTCTAGTACCCATGCTTCATTATGAAACTATGTGATTGGGCTTAGTTTTGGGGGAGGAAAATAAGGGGGAAAAAATCTGCCTCTGCCTACAGCATCCATTGGTATTCATCTGACTAGCATCCAGTCAGGGTGTGAGAGAGTTGAGGGTTGTTTGGAAACTGAAACAGTATTTGCTGTGTAAGCAAGAAGGAGACAGCAAGGAGCCTGGGTGTGGCTT